GACCTTGAGTCTCTGCAGGCTGCGGATGCGCGTGTAGAGACTGTGGGCTTCTGGTGAAGGAAGCTCCTCTTTTATCAATAATAAACAGCCAGCTTCCAGTAGAGTCTCCTGATTGCTCTTCTTCAAATCAATGTCCACATCCTGCAAAAGTGATACGAAAACTCTGTAAAGCTCAGTGCATTTTCAATTAGATGCTTGTGCTTTAAGGGGCTGCAGCAGCAAATTTAGTCCTGGGTAAAATTTTGTCTGTTCTGTATTGAATCACAAGCTTTTTAAATCTAAGTGGAATAATGTGTCACACACCTCAGGGAAATCGGTAAGCTGAGCCGAGCAGGAGACTATTTCATCAGGTTTGTCAAGTATCCGAGTGTAGATGACCATGACGTTGGAGAATTCTGCAGCAAATCCAAGCTGAACCTTCACTCCACAGTCAAACTGGAGGTAACGGCTTTCAGGGAGAACTGTGAAATAAATAAATAAATAAATAAATATGAGTAGAAATGTGCCTTTTGAAATATTTCATCATTTCAGTTAATACTTTTTTACCATGTGCAATAGCCCACTGCAGGTTTCGAGCTGAAGAGGATGCAGAACACTCAGAAACCTGTATCCTGTCAGTGAGGGAGCGTCTTTCAGAGAGATTACTGCGGAGCTCCAGCGCCTGCCGCCCTCGTGTGATTACACAGCGACCCATGTCTGAGAAGAAAAAACAAGCTTTAATATTGGGAGCACAGATGTGACGTGTCTATTTTTCTGTTGCAGGACATTATTTTTGTTTAAAACACTTTAATAATAGGACTAATATGCATTTTAAAAAGTGTCATAGATGATCTTAGAGCTTTAAATAACTGGATGAAATCAATTTAATAGTTTTTCTTGCAGGCTGTGCCACTAGATCTCAAATCTGTCATAAGACTAAACAGGCCATAAAATCAACAAATAATTGTAAAGATATTTAAAATAGAAATGATGCACTCAGTTTGCACCATTCAGTGTGGGTTTTCATGCTACAGCATGTATAAGTGGGATATGACCGGACCTGCAACATCCTCCTTGTTAAACAGCATTTAGTGGGCTTTCAGGTTTCTCTTCATATCCACGTTGGCATATTGCTACACCTTGACTCAATCCATCTAAGTCTGGTAAATGTTACCAATGAGTCAACACGCATGATAAGTACTTACATGAAAAATCAGTGAGTACCTCCCCACTGACCCCCTTGGAATCAGCTTTTCTTCCTCCAATAACTTTGATAGATTACAATGAAGCCATGAAAAAATTTACCTTCGTTCTATGCATTTTAAAAACATAAAAGTGGCTTTAATTACGGTGCTCACAGTTTACACACTAGGGCTGCCACGATTAGTCGACTAGTCACGATTACGTCGACGACTGATTTAATAGTCGACGCGTCGTTTGAAGCTTTGTAAGATC